AAAGTACATGATAGTTCTAGAAACAAGAGAGCGTGAGAATTGTCACGTGATCTCGATGACGCAACAGTGCATTTACCTATGCAAACTCCAATAGCATTGAGTTAATAAATGACAGGAAGAAGAAGTAAAAAGGAAATTACGAAACAAAATTAGATGCAAGTTTTAAATTAAAGTTATGTCTTATGAAATAATGACAGATTGATATTCAAGGATCAATTTTATAATATTTTTATAAATATGCTTCAAATAACAATTTATGGTAAACAAATAATTTAAAAGGTGTAGCTCACTTAAAGGAAGTACATGATGCTATTCTAATGTTAAAAGTACTAAAAGCAGGGTTGTTCAGGAAGCATTAACAGTAAATTCGTGGCATTGACTTAGAAAAATATGTAACTTTAAAAAAAATTGTTTTAGGCTATTGTTGTTTATATAAATATCCTTCATCATGTTTATAACCAACCTATTTTTTTAGTATAATATAGAAGCATTAGAGGAAGACGCCAAGACAGAAGTTTTGAATACCTTGATAAATATAAAGACTTTGTTGTCAGATTTACAGAATATATCAAATGGTGAGTTAAAGTCAAAGCAACAACAACAACAAAAAGCCGTAATATTAAAAACGAAACCCTAAGACTGACATTCTATGCAATTTTGTGTGATCCGGGGGAGGAGGGGTGGGAGAAACAAAAAACAATGAAATGTATTAAAAATGTAAAAAATATTTGAAACCACTCTACCATAACAAACTGACTTGAGCCATATAATGATTGTTTATTTCCCTATAGTTAAAGCCAATATGCAAAATAATTTTCGTTAGTTTAAATGACACAAATACTTTAATTTTTATTCTATATCATAATACCGCTGGGTGGTAGTATAAGAAGTATGATTTTAACTTTAAGATTGTCTCTCAAATTCCACATCTCTCTCAAAGAAAACTACCAGATTTTAAAAGTTTGTCCTTCTACTTTTCAGAGATCTGTTGTAGAAGGAAAAAAAATACTGTAATAAGTCTATTGTTGATGCATCAAGCCATTTTTGCTTTTGCATGGTAAATAAATGGGGTTGCTCAAATATCTTGTCAACAGAATGTCTTGTCATGTGCTCTCTCCGTTGGACACAACTGCACAACAAAAGGATGACGGCATTAGAACTTTCTTCTGTTAGTCTTGGAAGCTAATTTCGATTTTCGAAGGATTCTTTATCTGTAATTTGCCATTTTACCTTTTATACATGAATATTATGAAGCTCTCTAAAGAATTATTTTGACTACAGGAACTTCTGAAATGATATTGTAAAAGACAGGGTGTCCGAAAAGTCTGGAACCATAGGCACTTTAACGAATTTTACAGAATGTGTTCCACATGCTGTCCTTGTAGTTCTAAGCAAGTTTGGAGACGGTATTTCCATTCTCTTTGAACATTGCAAAGCATATCCGTGTCATTGTAAATGGTCGTCGCGAATTCGTTGTTTCAGATGTTTGGTGTCCCTGATCTTTCTCTTTTCTCTCTCTCTCTCTGTTATATCAAATAAAAATAGTTTTCTTTACGTATATCTTATTCATTCGGACGAAATAAAAATATATTATCTCAAAAAATAGGGAATGGGGAAATAGTTTATAATGTTTTTCACACGAAATCCAATTCTTCACTTAGTACAACCATCTTGGTCGACTTCAGAGTGAAAAACGAGGCTCTAGTCCACTAATTACGAAGAGTGGACAGCAAATTAAATGTAAAACCTTCTCACAGGAAATTAAATTCTTCACTCTAGCTTAATACAACTGTCTTGATCGACTTCAATGTGAAAAATAAAGCTCCAGTTCATTAATTATGACATTCCTGCTTACTTACTTCTAAAGCGTTACCACGAAATTTATGTAACTGGCTTTATAATTCGAATTCTAAAAGTCTCAGTAGGCAGATACTGGATACTGGCATTAAAACGGATAACATCCTTTCATTAGAAATGGGAATGAGTATAAATGGAACATAAAATAAGACTTAGTAAAAGAAAAGAACATAGTGTCATATCCTAATGGGTATACTTATGTTTCAAAACTTAGATAATTAACTGTGACATTAAAACACACGGCATGCGTTGACATAGTAAATGAATAAAAGTAACATTTTATTAAAATACGCCAGAAAAGTTCCTTCAGGTATGACAAACTTATTTGTGATGACTGTGTTTGTTTATATTTCCATGTGAAGATATTGTTCCTTTGATCAAAATTAACCACAATCAACCGCCTTTTGTTAAATATTTCTACGGCTTATACATACGATTAGAAAATAATGTATTAAAAACTAGAATTATGAAGAAATAAATAACGAAAACTTACAGTAATTTATACAACAGGTTTTTTTTCTGTTGTTAAACCGGCTGTTGGTATGTTGAATGTATTAACAAAGTCATGCCTATTGCTAGCAAGTGCAAGTTCGAGCAACGTTTATATGTTTATTTGCAAAAAAACAAAATCAAAAGTATCAAACGTTTCATGTTAATGGATTTATTTATTTTTAGGAATTATAAAGACCAGTAGAACGGCGCTTTGCAGTAACTATAATATAGGAATTAAAATAATTATACACATAGTTTCGAATACTTAACAAAGCTGATGTTTGAAAAGTACCCTTTAGCATTCTATTCTGTAGCGGTGTATTAAAATCGTATGGAATATTAATATTTCAAAACAGTTACTTAAATAACTTTGAAAATGGAAGAAACTTTCATATGTAAATTACAATTCATTTTGATATGAAAATGAAGTCTTTTATTTGAAAATGTTGTTGTTGTTTTTTGTTCTTTGGTGGACAAATAGGGAAGAAGAGGTAAATGCAATATTGGAAAAATCTAGATGACAAACTAGTTAGACCTCAACATTCGTTATATTTGTAAGTATTTTCATTATCATTTTACTAATTATCTAAGTAGAGGTAAAACTGAACACGACTCAAACTTCTGTTTAAAATTATCATGTTGTGTGTGTGTGTGTAAATACCTTTGCAAATGAAAACAAATCTGGAAACTAATAGTTTCCTTAGATGTAACATGTTTAGATGTTTATTTACATGTATATTAGTATTTCTTAACATCTTAGGTTAAACTATACATAAATGTAGCTGAAATACTGTTCATTTTAAAATTTAGCAACGATTGTGGAGTACCAGAATGAAAGCTCTACAATGCTTCATTCGTGTATTTATTGCTACGCATTATAATATCATAGTTTAGATAATACGGATCATTAAACAACTAAGATACCCGACTCCAGAGATCTTAATTTAGTACGCATTTGAATTATTTATAGTCATACGTACCTTAAATCTTTCAATATTTTCTTCAAGAGAAAATTTATGACTTTGATGAAGTTTGAAAGCTTCATTAGTTAACATCTGCATTTTCTGAGACATATTTGGATGTCCAAGGATAGGCCGAAGTTGATTTTCTAATTTACTTTTAGTGCCGACACTCTCCATATTTGCGTTTTGGAGACACTGATGGGCCTTAGTCACCATATCTTCCAATTTTGTATTATAATGATCAAAACACACTTGAAACTCTCTTTCTAGGAGTCTAGGTAACAGCTCCAACATCACGACGAATGATTTCAAAAATTCTAAACCAAAGAGAAGAACTATTGTAATCACAAAATTTCATTGTTTCTAACTTGTAAAATGTTTATTACGGAGAAATACACACGTATATATAAAAATGGACATGCAACGTTTCGACCTTCCACTTACGTCATCATCGGGCAAGATAAAATAAGGAGAATTTGAAACATTCGAGAGTAAGATGCGTGAAGCGAGAACATTAATAAAGTTTAATCAACAGTATTATTGACTATTTACGAACACTATCTATGAGGGCGAAGAAATAAGATTAAACACCTTTACATTGTATATATATCGCAATACCGTTATCGGTCCTGGTTGTCAACTTATTGTCATAACAGATAATGTATGTGGTAATATTCCCAATGCACTTGGGTGCTATTACCACAGACATTATCCGTTATGAAAATAAGTTGAAAACCAGGACCGATAACGGTACTGCGATATTTAATTCATTATTGTTTTATAGTGCTGATTTAATCGCCTATTAACAATTAATGTAATCAATAGTTTGTAAACTATATATATATGTTATTTTATTTTATAAACATCCTATTCATTTTAGTAATAAAAACATTATTACAGACAATGCGTTCAACCAATTATATCCTTGTGGATCGTGACCTGGTATAATGTATGGCCTCCCTAAGGTTCAGAAACAGAATCATCCATTACGCCATATACTTTCTGCACTCAGAACACACAGATATAAGCCGACCAAATTAATTGTACCTTTTCTTAAACCACTAACATATATTGAATTTAATGTCCTGGACTCGTTTTGATTAGTTAAAGAGTTAAAAGATCTACACCCTCCCAATGAATGTTTTATGTCTAGTTTTGATATAAGTTCTTTATTCACGAACATTCCATTGGATAAGACCATTGACATTTGTTTGGAAAAACTCTTTCAAGAGGAGTCTCTAGTTTATCGCGTAACTAAGGAACAACTTAGATCTTTAATTATTCACTCTGTAAAGAACAACCATTTTACATTTAATGGAAAACTATATGACCAAATTGATGGAGTGGCTATGGGATCCCTACTAGAACCAACTCTGGCTAAGATTTCTCTGAGCCACCATGAGCGATTTTGATTGAACAATTGCCCACAGAAATTCAAACCAATAGTTTACAAACGCTACGTTGATGACACTTTGGTCATTTTCGATCAAAGGATGAAGTTCAACAGTTTCTTGAGTATTTAAACTCGCAACAGTTGTTTGTACAATTTACCTATTAAATTGAAGAAAATAATACTCTGCCTTTCCTATATGTGCTAATTACTCGAGATGCTTAAAGTTTTTTAACGTCAATATATCGAAAGAAAACGTTCACGGGACAGCTTTGATAGTTTCATTCCTGTGGAATATAAGATCAACCAAGCAACATGCATAATGACTCGAGCCTTTAAAATCTGTTCAACTTATTTCATTTTACACTCTGAGATTAGTTTTCTTCAGGAAATATTATTGTGTAATGGATACCCTAGGAAAATGATTGAAAGCCTAACCAGGATATTTCTTAACAAAAGATTTTTCCCATGAAAATGTTCACAGTTGATAAATGCCCAGTTTCATTGACCATTCCTTACCTAGGACAACAAAGTGTCATACTTTCTAAACAAATTCAATCTGTGATAAGGAAGTTCTACCCACAAATTAAACTTAACATCATTTTCAAACCATCTTTTAGGTTAAAACATTTCTTTAACACAAAGGATCGTCTACCTATCTCTCTTCGCTCCTGGATTGTACATAAGTACACGTGTGGTGACTGTAAGGCCGCCTATATCGGGAGAACTAAACGACATTTTATCGTACGCATCCACGAGCGCGTGGGACACTGTGGTCAGGTAACATCCTTTTAAGTCCACCCATTTCGGCGATCTAAAATCACAGACTTGAAATTGGACGTATGATAACTAACTGAGGATTCACCATTATCTGTAATGGTCATTCCGACCTTGAACTGTTAATTAAAGAAAGTCTATCCATAAAAAAAAGTAATTTATAACAAACCACTTTATAAATAGGATGTTTATAAAATAAAATAATATATATATATATAATAAAACCAAAACAACAACAAAAAAATGTAAAGGTTTTTAATATTATTATTTCGTCCTCGTAGACAGTGTTTGTAAATAGTCAATAATACTATTGTTTAATTTTATCGTTGTTCTCGCTTCACGTGATTATAACATTATTTTAATCTTATTCTCGAATGTTTCAAATTATCGTTATTTTATCTTGTCTGATGATGACCTAAGTAGAAGGTCGAAACGTTGCATAGCCATTTTTATATATATACGTGTATATTTATCCGTAATAAACATTTTACAAATAGAAGAAGTATTGAGTTGATGCTTCTGCCTATTAAAGAAACTCTTGTAGAAATATATTAGTGGCTATATAATCTACTTATGCAGCTGAAGACGAAACTTTCGAAACGTCGTCCTCTACACGTGAACTGCATAAGCAGATTGCATAGTCAGCAATATGTTTCTGTAAGTGTCTCTCTAATAAGGCAGTAGCCGTCCGTTTTACAGCATCAACTCAATATGAATACTCTGTCTAAACTATCTACCAAAGAAGAAGTGTTGTTATTTTATCTTTCCTTAAAAAAACAAGGCCAAATATATTTATTTCCTAAACAAAATTGAGACGAATACACAAAACCCTACATAGTAGCTTGTTTGTTTGTTTTTGAATTTC